TGAATTTTACGGTAAAAACGTCACATTTAAATGCTACACTCCATGAATTACTTTCATGTTAGGAATGATTTTTTCTAATTTGCTGCCAAACAACATTTATTACGAAATGTGCAAAATCAAAACTTTACTTAGATATGAAAATGAATTAATTCTATAAAGGAGAATTTGTTTTAGAGGGTTTTTACAAAGTCAACAATAAATGTCACACATTGCCCAAAAGTAATAAATCTAACTATAATTATATAAATGTTGTGACATAAATCGTATGAGTAGTCATTCAATATAGACATATTAAAAATTAGAGGATTTTTATGAAATGTGCATCTCTTCAAAAAGTTATTGGTATATTCCAAATTAATTTCAATGGAATGGTGACAAAATCCTACCAAAAAGTAAAAGTCAACATGTTATGTCACAGACGTAAAAATATGGCGTTTTGGCGTACGTTAACGTTCAATGCATAAAATGTTATCTAAAACGTCAAAAGATTTTTTTCTCTCCAAACTTTTACTCTTATTGCTAATGAGCCTGATATGGATAAAAGAAAACTATAAGTTTTGAAAGTTGTATTTATATATATAAAAGCAAAACATGTACACTGTATACTAGTACACGGTTTCAGAATATACATGTATCCTTGTCAAAAATATGTACAATAGTACCATTCAGAGTTCGAATTTAGACACCAGAAAAAAAAATCAATCAAACCTAAATTTATGTAAGGGTGTGATTTCAAATTTGAATTACCTGACAGTAAAGTGTGTCAACTCTATTTGATGCTGGCGTAAACGGTTCTATACCATGTATACATGGCGAGTTTACATTGAATAGTCCAATATTGAATAAGGGTTAGGGGGTGTTGGAAGTTGTGATGTAGATAAAGTATCAGGTTTTCACTTCATAATTTGAAAATTAGTTCTTTTTGTCATTACCCCGGTAGCATCGTATGAAATAAAACAAAGTTGTATTTGATCATTAAAAAAAAAATAGGTGTTTACATTCGAAATTGACGACATTTTGAAACAGGTTATGGCGAGATCAAGTTTATTGTTATATTTCTTTTAATAAAAATATTTTTCATTAATACAGGTAACTCTCGAAACCTCGAAGTCCGCGGGACCGAGGAAAAACTTCGAGAGATCAAGAGTTCGAGTTTTCAAGAGTGCGGAATTTTCAGTTATTGTTTGACAGGTTTTAAAATAAGTCTTACCTGATGTAATGATTTTCATGCAGTGGTTTTTATAAAACGACAATATGTTTTCGTTTTTTTTAGATAAATGCTTATAAAACTGAGTAAAGCAAAAAATGTACATCGTCAGTTCTTGTTTCTTTATCTATTCTTTATCATACGGACATCATACCACGCATTCGTTATATGAAAACGACAAGTATTTGTCCAACAATAGTCATCATATTGACAATGAGGTTGTTTCTGAATTTTCATATTTCGTTAAACTTTGACACTGATTCAAAATAAAAATGAAATATTTCGTCTTGTAATCTGCAATTGCAATTTCTCAGTTACATTGTGTTTCTAAATTATCATAATACAGTCAATGATAATTATTTTAATAGCATGTAGACATCATAACATTAATCGTAAATCAATAATCACCTTGCAGTATTAGTGTATTAGTGTCACCTGAATAAACATCCCGTTTCACAAGACCCGCGTCTTCTGCCTGGGGCCATTAAATGTCCAGGTACAGTTGCTAATTATACAACTTTATATACACATGGTCACTTCGAGGTATCGAGGGTAAATTTCAATAGAATATGCATAGCGGGACTGCATTTTGACTTCGAGGGATCAAGGGTTTCGAGAGATCAAGAGTTCGAGAAATCAAGAGTAAATTTGCTTAGTTATATAGTGGAAAAAATCGGGACCGGAGACTCACTTCGAGCGATCAAGAACTTCGAGAGATTGAAGTTCGAGCCATCAAGAGTTACCTGTATATTTGGTCGTAAGCTAGTGACGTATTATCGTTGTTGAAAGTAGGGGTGGGGAGGGGGAGGGGTGCAGCCGGAGAAAAAAAATTACTTACCGGAAAAAAGTTGTCAAGCCAAAAAAGAAGAGGAAAATGTGTTTGCCCAATCTCGAAAATCCTATTTCCTTTGGGGGGAGGGGGGGGGTTGAGGCGAACTTCATTCAACGCATAACGCAAACTTCTTTCAGTATCAAATTTTCTTCATACAATTACTACATTACCCATATATTACTTTATTTTTGCCCAAATTGGGGGGCCAACCAGCCTTTCAATGAACATATCAATAGTAAAAGTTATGTTTAAAAAAATTGGGGGGGGGGGGCACGCCCCCTTGCTACTTGCCTGTAAACAATGTCCATCTTTTTTTCATAATTTATTTTAGTAATGTTTCATTTTTTCTTACCTTTTTATTTTTAAATTCTTCTAAACTCATTTAAACCGACCAAAATGGTACTAAGTAACCATTAATTTAATCAAAATCTAGTTTATCTCCATATCCTTCATTTAGGGAAAGGATAATGCCTCTATACAATCTTCTTAATCTTATTAAAATCTGATCCCGCCGTCACCAAAATTCCTCAACATCAACATCAATTATTTAAATCTGAATCTTGGTGAAAGCCTTCACAAAATGCTCTTTGAATCACTCTTTACTTCCATTTACACTGTACAAGTATGAAAAAGGCATACAATCACAAAAGGCATGCAGGTAAACTGCATAGATATCCAAAGGAGTATAAAACCTATGATCTTTGATCTGTGTGCTAGGCACATACGACGCAACGCATAAAAAAGGGGGATGAAAAGGGGGAGCTATTTTTCGAATAAATACATCTGAAGCCTGTAAACTGCACTTCATCGAAAATTCTTTTCATGGACAAGTTATAGTGAGGGAGGGTCAATTCTCAGATTCGATTCCTCTCCTTCTTAAAATTGCATTATTTGAAATATTTAGATCTACTGTTAGATACTGGTACTCAGTATGTAAGGGACTGATGGATGGTGGAGGTTAAAGATGGGGTGGGATAGGGATTTTAAACGAAAAAAAAATTTCATTGTTATATCAGCAACATATCTACAATCATACAATTTACTGAAAACAAAGGACAAGTTCTAGCGCCTACTGATATGATATGGAATTGTTTTGAATTTATATCAATAAAATAAAAAGCATGTAAATTTAAAATGCGATGTCGAACAAGTTTTATTATTCCTACCAAGCTTTTTATCAAATGAAGCAAATTATGCCTATATTTCCTAGATTCTGCAATATGCTTGCAAAAGGGTAGAGAATTTAATTGCATGCATGTATGTTCAATGAACTGCATTATATAATTGGCGGCATTACTGGGTTTATTTTTTACTACATAAAAAATGTAAGCAAAAAAGTAACGTCAAATTAATATTGTATAACTTCACGTAAAATAACGTCATTTTGACGTTACCGAAACTGACACCAACACCGTGCGCAACGTCAATATATTTCTGGAATTAAAGAAACCTGTAGGAACCTTTCATTTTACTCGATTTTATTTGACCTTAATTAAGTTGACAAATTCAAGACAATCTTGTGTAATGAATTCGAAATTACGATTTAACGTCCCTCTCGAGAATTTTTCACTCATACAGTATGTATGGAGACGTCACCGTATGCCGGTGAGGGGCTTCAAATTTTGACCTTTACTCGGCACTCGGGGCCACTGAGCAGCGAAGGATCTTTATCGAGCCAGCGCCTGCCGCTGACACGGGGCCTCGGTTTTATGGTGTCATCCGAAGGACCCGCAACTTTCACTTCAAAGTGCCGAGCGCATAGCGAAGGAACAATTGCTACCCATTTTTTATCGACTTAGGTCAGTCGCGGCCGATGGCGAACTACCGGGAACGGTAAATTACAATGTATATACGACTTACTGACGTGTAATAACGTGTATGGTATGTAACCATCTTGAAGGAATGCAACAATCCTAAGAAATCTTCAGTTGCTAAGTAAATAGTGTTATATCTTGATGAAATGTGTCTTAGTCAAAGATGAACGTGTTGTAGATCGTGTGTACATTTTTGTGATATTTATACTGAAATGATGTGCATTCCTTGTCATAATTATTCGTTACTTATTCATATTCTTGGTGTTTGATTACAATTTTTCTATTACAAATGATCATTTTAGATTAAAAGAAAAATTTTTGATAAACATTTTCAATCTAATGTAAACCCCATACTGTCATTTACCGTGTTAAGTGCAAAAAGGTCAAGAATATAAGCATCGGTAAATAGCCTACCTCTCATTAGTTAAAGGCGAAAGGTATATTTTTTAATCAATTTTTGTAATCATTTGGGTATGTTTTTCATCATATTAAAGACTGAAAATATTGTGACAGAGACTTCTGAAAAATATTTATGAATATACAGTGGAAAATTGTGTAAAATGTAAACGTCATTTTCCTATTTTTTTTTTCTAAATGTTGACTTATCTTTTATGTCAATTATATAAAAAGAAATTATTCTTGAGAAATATTGCTTAATATTGTTCAGTATATACAGTCTATAAACGACGATGTTTAAATAGGAATTTTTGAGATTTTTCATACTCTCTTCTTGACAAGTACCCATAAAAACCTGAAAATGTGTAGACGCAGTATATATCAACATACCAAGTTTCAAAGGCTGTGCTACATTAAAAAAAAAATAGGAAACGTATCATGACTTTTTGAATTATTGATAAGCAAGTACTAATTTATCATTTTGAAAAGTTTTAAAATCTTTTGACAAAGACTTTTCTGACATAGGTTCAACCTTAACATACCTGCGTATTTTAGAAAAAGATATTCTCATTCACATAAGCAATTGGCTCTGTTTTTGTTGAAACGTAGCATATTTTATCCCGCTTCAGACAAATTTGTCGATCAGGACGATTACTGATTGGATAAAGGCTAATCAAATGACGCCTTGAAATTTTCCGTATTACGTCTGTGTCAAATATTCACCACTGAAACAAGTTTACATATGTTGATATATTTATTCATAAATAAAGAGTTGTCATATAGTCTTTAATGTCTTTTTTACGGTATTGTCTTTCCTCATCACTCAGTCATTTTTAGCACCAGACAAGTCTTTTACTTCAAATTTCCTAAGGGTCAGTACTTTTGGTCGCACCTCACAGCTGTAATAATCTATCACTGATATGGACCCCCTACAGACTGTGACAATGTCCTCCATATCTGTATCAGTAATACTGTCACAATACTCGAGGCAGAGAGATTGAAGGTTTGTAGCAAAGGTGGTAGAACGGTGTGGGAAGTGTATTTCTTCATATTCCTGGAAAAAAAGAGTTTCAGAAAGTTTAGGTACGTACTTGTTCACAATCTACATTCACTCAAAGAAGTACCATTTTATTTTCTCTCTATTGACTTACAGCAAAATGTGTCCTAGGCAAATTTTCTAACAAACAGATTGAAATTCATTTTGAAACAAGTCTTTTAAAGGATTCAACAATATCCTTCCCATTCCTGAATAGATTAATATCAATTCATCTTTTATTTTCAACTGATAATCGTACACTAGACAAAGTTGCATACACACAACTTAGTATTTTCCAAAAAAAAAAAGGTTAAAGTCAGCGACATCCGTATACTGTAATTAAGCCTACTGCAGTCAAATTGTAGCATAGCACCCTCAGAATCTCTCGTTCAAAGTACACATGTAACAGTAACTAATCTCAGAGCGGATTGAGATCATTTTATGCTCTGATATACATGTTACATGATCGTATATAGACAGTGCGATTGTAACAGCAATGATGACCCTGACTTACATGGTTGAATTCATATTAAATGATGTTATGTTAGCAAATTCTGTACATACATCATCACTTGACTCCCCTTCGTCGTCAATCTGCAACACTTCCTTGGCTGCTCTCTCTTTGGCTTTAAAGAAGAATAAAGCTTTACACCGACTCCACTTATTGTAATCTGAAATGGCAATGAAGATTTTAATAAAATTGCTTATTGATAGAGCAAATCAATAGAGCTAAATCAATCCCAAGACAATTCAAATGTATTCAGACTCACAAAAAACAGGAACATACGGGAGAGCCTTTTTTTAGGCATTCAGGAATAGCGCATACTTAGTAGTATTTTTGGGGTGGTAAGGGGAAGGGGACAGCCTCTAGTAAATGATGGAGATACATAACAATATTCAAGCTCAAAAATTCCATTTAACAATACAAAATCGCAGAAGGGCAAACAAGGATCCCAAAGAATATCGGTGGTTGGACGAAGTGCCAATGACATCTCCTGTCCATCAGTAAAATCAGCCGTGTTCTCCTTGGGTTGATTGAAAATAAAATCCCGCCAAGATCCATCGTAAAATTGTTTGTTAGTACTGAAATGTCCATGAACAAGCATTGCATGTTAGTTCGCCCACAAAAAATTTGGTTGGTATAAATAGTTTACAATTCACCTGATATAATAGGAAGGAAGGGTTTAGATGTCATCAAAGCCTGGCCATTCAAAATCATTTCGTTAATTCTTGGACAGTGGTTTAGAATCGCTTTTGTGACTTCATCTTGAAGGCCTGAAAAATGAAACCATGCATAACTTAAGTTCTGAAATTAGCATATTAAACTAAACTTAACACTATAAACCATATGTTGGGGGAAGTAACTGTTGAGTCACCAATGTTTTTGTAGATTTTGATATACGAAATATTTTTTCATCACATGTATTCATTGGGTTTTCTGTAAACATAAATGAACCATGAAATAACGTCCTTATGGACCAATAAAATTTTTTGATTCCCATAAACATTTTTAATGTTTTTCCAAATTAAAGAAATATATTTTATAAGTAAACAAGAGGCCCATGGGCCTTATAGGTCACCTGAGCATCATGCAACAATTTTCAAATTATTGAATTTGTCCATGTTTTAAGCTAGATATAGATGCTATGGCATTCACAATTTTGAAAGAGGCACCATTGCTAATCATAACTATGCACTTAGCAATTGTTTACTTTGTTTACTTAATACCGATAAGCAGGGTAGGGAAACAAAAACGTATGTCAACTAATCAGTAATATTCAGCAATAATCAGGAGTGCTCCTACCACACATAAACCCCTGACCCTAGGTATACACATTGCACAATTTTTGAAAAGGCACACTTGCTTATCAAAAATGTTTGATTAATACTAAGGAGCATATTTCAAACAATTCATTTTCAGTATACAAGTAGAGCCCCCCTTCCCCATCTTGGTATCCCTGACCCAGGGGCCTTAAAATTCACAATTCTGGAAGAAGAGCCCATCATAACTATGTAAATAGTTCATCTGCTTATTACCCAGGAGTAGAGAAAAAGATTTTCATAGATGTAATGTATTTTCACCATATAATCATTATAGAGCCCCACCCTAACAACAGAACCCCTGACTCTGGGGCCATAAAATTGACAATTTTGGTAGAGGCACTCTTGCTCATCATAACTATGTACTTAGTTAGTTTATTTAATACCTAGGAGCAGAGAAGAAGATTTTCAAAGATTTAATGCATTTTCACTATATAATCAATAGAGCCCCACCCTAACACCAGAACCCTTGACCCTGGGGCCATAAATTTAAAATTTTGGTAGAAGCACTCTTGCTTATCATAACTATGTACTTAATTAGTTTATCTAATACTCAGGAACAGAGAAGAAGATTTTCAAAGAAATAATGCATTTTCACTAAATAATCAATAGAGCCCCACCCTAACACCAGAACCCCTGACCCTGGGACCATAAAATTCACAATTTATGTAGAGACACTCTTACTCATCATAACTATGTACTTAATTAGTTTATCTAATACACAGGAACAGAGAAGAAGATTTTCAAAGAAATAATGCATTTTCACTATATAATCAATAGAGCCCCACCCTAACACCAGAACCCCTGAACCTGGGGCCATAAAATTCACAATTTATGTAGAGACACTCTTAATCATCATAACTATGTACTTAATTAGTTTATTTAATACACAGGAACAGAGAAGAAGATTTTCAAAGAAATAATGCATTTTCACTATATAATCAATAGAGCCCCGTCCTAACACCAGAACCCCTGACCCTGGTGCCATGAATTTCACAATTTTGGTAGAGGACTCAATACTGATTACAATCATATCAACAGTTTGACTGCTTGATGTCCAGGAGTAAAGAAGAAGATTTTCAAAGATTGTACTAATTTAAGTGGTTTTTGCCCCACACCCCAGGCCCCAGGGGTGCTGGGACCACGAAATTCACAATTTTTGTTCCCCTTCACCCACAGATGCTATATGCCAAAATTGGTTGAAATTGGTTAGGTGGTTTCAGAGAAAAAGATGAAAATGTTTAAATGTTAATGCACGACGAACGACAGACGACGGACGACGACGGACAAAAACGGATAGCAATAGGTCACATGAGTTTACTCAGGTGACCTAAAAATACACTTCAAGAGTTTATAAAGGAAATATAGATATTTATGTCATTAAGAGTTATCTCTCTTATCAGAGTATCGATTACCCTTAATCTGAAGTTTTAGCTTCTAAATAGCCATCATATTTTAAGCACTTACATGATCCCCCTGCCCAGCTAAGGTCGATGAATTCTAGATGATGTAGATTCTTTGCTAAACATACAAGGCCACTCCCATTTATATCCTCAATGCTGGCAATATTGAGACTGCGCAACTGCCGGAAGTTGTCACTCAAAAGACCTAACGACAGATTTGTTAATGCACCTTGTCTAGCACTGAAAGATTCCATACAACTTTGCTTCCGGAGGAGAGAGTTTATTCCTCTCTCAGTCAGCTCTGAACAGTAGGATATGTATAAATTCTTCAACTGAAAAAAAAAAATTTCTTATTGAAAAAAAAAATGTGAGATCATCAATTGATGAAGATAAACTCGTTCAAGTTTAATATATAGGGACTCCTATCAACTATTTTTTACTATAATAAATTGTTTTAAATCAAGGTAGTTTTATCCTTATAGTAAGAGTCAAAATGCTTTTGCTAAAGATTTACTAAATTTTGGAAACCTTATTTAAAGTCTGTGCTTCTCATGCTTCTCATTGTACATGTTGTAGAAAGTAAAAGTTTAGCAGTAGTATTCTATTCAAACTATCTTCTTATCAACGATAATCTAGTCCTACAATTCCTACATCAAAGCACTGTAAATCACTTTTTATTCGCAAGAACTTTATTTTTGCGTAGTTACGCGAGGCAATGCGTTCACGAAAATTTATTTCTCGCATATAAAATATTCCTTACAATTATATACATTGTACATGTAGAGGAATATCAACTATTCGTGAAAATTATTTCTCGCCTACAAAGTTTTCTTCCCTCCCTATTGCTTCTTCTTGGTAAAACTGGTACAGGTTCTTCAGATCTTGGACTACTGGCTTTAGCATGTTCCTGCTGTTGCTCTGTCTCTACTGGCTGTTGATCTATTACTTCCTCCTCTGCATCATGATGCTGTATTTCTTCTTCTCTTTCCCTACTCTCTTCTTTATGATCCATCTGTTGTATGGGTCTTTGTACAGGCTGTTCCCTAGGGCTATGTACAATCTGCTCTTTAGGGCTCCGTACTCTCTGCTCTCTAGGGCTCTGTACTCTCTGCTCTTCTGATCTCTGTACTCTCTGCTCCTCTGACATCTGTACTCTCTGCTCACCTGGGTGCTTACTAACATCTACTGGGATATTAACCTCAGGGATCCTTGGTACCGGTACCGAAATAAATTCTGTATCTGAGTCTTCATCAGAACTAACTCTGTCATCTTCTGATTCTCTAATCTCTGGTGTTTTCTCTTGAACCTGTCCTTGTTTCTTCTTCAGTGTCTGCCTTGTCCTGGGTTTTGGAGTAGGTTTGGAAGTTGATGGTGATGATTCATCTACACTGGTTGTATATGAATCTAGATGTCCAATTGGGAGTAGAAGGTTTCTATGTAATATCCGAGTTTTTCCTTTTGTAGTTTCTTTCTGTACTTTATATACTGGGATTTCTGGATAAGGATGTTCAATTACTAAGTATGGTTCTTCTTCCCACTTATCAGCAATGTTGTGTTTTCCATCAAAAGCTACAATTTTTACAAGTACTCTGTCTCCTGTCTGTATTTCTGCATTTGTTGTTCTTCTATCATAAGTGTCTTTCTGTCTTTCCTGTGATTTCTTGGTAATTTTGTTCACTAGTTCGTAAGCTGCTTTCATGTTTTCTTTCAAGTTGCTGATGTATTTCGATACGGATTTCTTTTCTTCTTTCTTTAGGCCAAACTCTATGTCGATCGGTAATTTTGGTTCACGTCCAAACATAAGGAAATACGGGGAAACTCCGGTTGACTCGTTCTTGATGCAGTTGTACGCATGCACTAATGGGTTAATATACATCTTCCAGTTCTGTTTCTGTGATGGGTTCAGTGTTCCTATCATGTTCAGTAAAGTTCTGTTATACCTCTCACATTGACCGTTGCCCATAGCATGATAAGGGGTTGTCCTTGACTTTTTCATCCCTGTAATCTGACATAATTCTTTGATAATTTGGCTCTCGAAATTAGCTCCCTGGTCTGAATGTATTCGTGTTGGAATTCCGTAGTAAGTAATAAAGTTGTTGTATAACGCTTCTGCTGTTGTCTTTGCAGTCATGTGGCGTGTTGGTACCGCATGCGCGAAACGAGTGAAGTGGTCAATTATAACAAGTACATGTTGATATCCTCCTCTACTCATCTCTAATGTCAAGAAATCCATGCAGACAAGTTCTAGTGGATAAGAAGAATTTATGTTGACTAATGGTGCTTTCTGGTTTGTTGATTTCCTGTGCACACATCTGTTACAGTTCTTGATCCAGTTTTCGATGCCTTGGTGCATTCCTACCCAATAGAATCTGTCTTTGACAAGAGATGATGTTCTTTCTCACCTGGATGGCCAAACTTGTTGTGTAGTTCTGTCAAAACTTTGTCTTTGAATAATCTGGGTAATACTAATTGCTGATTCACATTGTCAAATGAAGTTGTTTCCCTGTAAAGAATATTATTGATAAGTCTAAGTTTATTGAAATTCCTAACTAATGCCTGTGAATGAGGATGAAATGGCAAGTCCTCAAGTCTAGGTTTCTTTTGTAGCTTGACATGATGAATCCAGGATATAATAGTCGGGTCGTTTTTCTAAACACTGCACCAATCTATCTGCTGGACAATAACATCCTGTTGAAAAAATTTTGATCAATAATAGAAGTATCTAAAGACAAAGTAGTAACAAGTGGCTCTGCATGAACTTCTTTACATACGGCTTTGATAGAATCTGTAGAGACTGAAAATCATCATTAGTTGGTCTTCTGGACAGGGCATCTGCGTCTTGATTCTGTTTACCAGGCCTGTAAATAATACAGAAATCATAA